CTGATTACAAGGATCTACATGTGACCTCCTCCCTGGGGGACAGACAACAGAAAAGTGGGTGAAGGGAGACCTCGGACAGGGCAAGATATGTCAAAATAATAATTTATAAATTACCAAGCGTTCATGAGGGAGGTAGGAGTGGGGAGGGAGGGGTAAATAAAATGAGGACCTGATTCCAGGGGGTTAGGTGGAGAGCAAATGTTTTGAGAATGATGAGGGCAATGAGTGTACAAATGTGCTTTACACAATTAATGTATGTAGGAATTGTGATAAGAGTTGTATGAGCCCCTAATAAAACGATTAAAAAAAAAAAGACTGGGGCAACGCACTGAGAGGTTGGTGGTTCAAATCCGCCTGGGACTAGAGCTACTCTGCTCACCTGCGTGGGGAGCTGAGTTGTGGCAACTAGCAGCAGGCTTACAAGGGAGCAAGAGCCACAGAGCTTCAGGGGCCAAGTGCACCCAGAGAGAAACAAAACGTGCAGGTGGGCAAACACACCCATTTCCTGGCCGCTCTGCATTCAAGAGGGCCCTGGTGGCAGAGTGGGCTGCTAACTCCCTGGGGTCAGCAGTTCAAACTCCCCAGTAAACAGTTACAGCCTCAGCAACGCCCAGGAGCAGGTCTACTCTGCCCTCTAGGGTGGCTGTGAGTTGGGATCCACTCGATGGCAGGGAAAGTGGCCCTGCCTTCTGGGCAGAGAAAACCCACCAACATTCTTAATTTCTCTCTTTTTGGTTGATATTAAATTTCACTTATTTTTATGAATTTTTTATTAAGAAGTCATTTTATTGGGGCCTCTTACATATATTATAACAGTCCATACATCCATTATATGAAGCCAGTGGTTCTCAACCTTCCTCATGCCACGACCCTTTAATACAGTTCCTCAGGTTGTGGTGAACCTCCCCAACCATAAAATTATTTTCGTTGCTACTTGATAACTGCCATTTTGCAACTGTTATGAATCGGGCGAATCCTGCAAAAGGGTCATTTGACCCCCGAAGGAGTTGCGACCCACAGGTTGAGAACCGCTGTATTGAGCGGATATATAGAAATATTGTCACCAACAATTTCAAAACATGATCTCTCTTCTTAAGTCCTTGGCACCAGTTCCTCTTTTTGCCCTTCCTCCCCCGCCCCGCCACCCTCACAACCCCTTCATATGTTATGTATTGTTTACAGTATCTTGTACCCCCTCTTCTATCCCTTCATATGTTATGTATT